CCTGATTCTACAGTTGTTGAAATTCACTTTTTTTTTTCATTAATCTACACCAGGGGTGTCAAACTCATGGCCAGATGCGTCACATGCTGGCTCCGTCCCCACCCAGTTTAGCAAAGGGGGATAAAGTCCCGATATGTCATGGTGGCATCACGACGCGAGTTTGACACCCGTGATCTAAACTCAATACCCCATAATGACAGAAGTCCTTCACTTTATGGCCAGATTAAATAAACAATTTCCCCTAGCTACAGTAGTATTCAGCACAGCAGGGGCTCCTTAACAGATGTGTAGTTACTGATCTTCCATCTAAACTTGTTTTAGAACTATTTATTTTATTTATTTATTTTTATTTTTATTACTGAATTTCTATACCGCCCTACTCCCGAAGGACTCAGGGCGGTGCACAGCCATGAAATAAAACACATAGATATACAAAATTTAAAATCGAATAAAATGAATTAAATAAATTTAGCTGAATTAATACCCATAATTTAAAATACCCATATTTTAAAATCCATTAAAAATTTAGAATTTACACTTAAAAGGGAGAAGATTTAGGCGAGGCCAGCTTGATGAAATAAAAGCGTCTTCAACTCGCGGCGGAAGGTGCGCAGATCCGGAATCCTCCGTATCTCTGGGGGAGCTCATTCCAGATCGTCGGTGCCCCCACAGAGAAGGCTCTCCCCCTAGGGGCCGACAGCCGACATTGTTTGGCCGACGGCACCTGGAGGAGCCCCTCTCTGTGGGAGCGTACTGGTCGGTGGGAGGCTGTTGATGGTAGTAGGCGGTCCCGTAAGTAACCAGGTCCCAAGCCATGGAGCGCTTTAAAGGTGGTAACCAAAACCTTGAAGCGCACCCGGAAGACCACCGGGAGCCAGTGCAGCTCACGCAGGAGAGGTGTTACATGGGAGCTCCATGTTGCTCCCATAACCACCCGCGCGGCCGCACTCTGCGCCAGTTGGAGCCTCCGGGTGCACCTCAAGGGGAGCCCCATGTAGAGAGCATTACAATAGTCCAGACGAGAGGTGACGAGGGCATGAGTGACTGTGCGTAACGAGTCCCGATCTAGAAAGGGACGCAACTGGCGAATCAGGCGAACCTGATGAAAAATCCTCCCGGTCACGGCCGTCAAGTGCTCTTCTAAAGACAGCCGTGAGTCCAGGAGGACGCCCAAGTTACGAGCCCTTTCCGTGGGGGCCAATGATTCGCCCCCAATAGCCAGCGATGGCACCAGCTGACTATATCGGGACGTCGGAAACCACAGCCACTCGGTCTTGGATGGGTTGAGCCCGAGCCCGTTTCTCCCCATCCAGATCCGTACGGCCTCCAGGCACTGGGACATCACTTCAAGGGCATCGTTGGGGTGGTCCGGGGTGGAGATGTACAGCTGGGTGTCATCAGCGTACAGATGGTACTTCACCCCGAAACCACGGATGATCTCGCCCAGCGGCTTTACATAAATGTTGAACAGAAGGGGCGAGAGAACCGATCCCTGCGGCACCCCACATATAAGGGGCCTCGGGGTCGATCTCTGCCCCCCTGTCAACACAGACTGCGACCGGTCAGAGAGAAAGGAGGAGAACCACCGTAAAACGGTGCCTCCCACCCCCAACCCTTCCAGCCGGTGCAGCATGATACCATGGTCGATGGTATCAAAAGCCGCTGAGAGGTCTAACAGGACCAGGACAGAGGAACAACCCCTGTCCCGAGCCCTCCAGAGATCATCAACCAACGCGACCAATGCCGTTTCCGTGCTGTACCCAGGCCTGAAGCCCAACTGGAACGGATCTAGATACGATGTTTCATCCAGGTACTGGGGTAGCTGTCGCGCAACCACACTCTCAACAACCTTCGCAACGAAGCAAAGGTTGGAGACTGGACGATAATTAGCCAATACTGCCGGGTCCAGGGAAGGCTTCTTGAGGAGAGGCTTTACCACCGCCTCTTTCAAGGCGGCGGGAAAGACACCCTCACCCAACGAAGCATTTATAATCCCCTGGAGCCAGCCTCGCGTCACCTCCCGGGAAGCCAGCACTAACCAGGAGGGACATGGGTCCAACAAACATGTGGTCGCGTTCAATCTACCCAGAATCCTGTCCACGTCATCTGGGGTCACAGGATCAAACTCATCCCAGATAACAGTCTCAAGACCTGTCTCCGTCACCCTCGCTGGATCTATCCCGTCAGAGTCCAGACCTGCCCGAATCTGAGTGATTTTGTCATACAGATACTGAACAAAATCCTCGGCTCTTCCCTCCAAGGGGTCCTCCCGCGCTTCCTGGTGGAGCAGGGAGCGGGTCACTCTAAACAGGGTGGCCGGGCGATTATCTGATGACGCAATAAGAGCAGCAAAATGAGTACATTTTGCTGCTTTTATCGCCACTAGGTAACTCCTAATATGGGATCTTACCAGTGTTCGGTCAGATTCAGAAAGACTGGCCCTCCAACAGCTCTCTAGGCGTCTTTTCCAGCGCTTCATCTCCCTCAGCTCCTCGGTGAACCAAGGAGCCAGGCGAGATCGGCGCCGGGTCAGAGGCCGCAAAGGCACGACTATAGTCTTGTTCTAATATTGCCATCTATGATTTTCAACATTTATACAATCTAACTTCATATTTTGTGTGTGTGAAAGGACTGCATTGTTTGTAGAGAGATCCCATAAAGTTTTGTATTTTTGACCAGTATTGTTTAATTAGTTTGCATATGGCCAAGAATTAGAAGTGACAAAAGTGGACCAGATTAATTCATGGATATAGGTATAAATAATGATTGAGCTGTGTTATGCCCAGATGAACACTTGAGGGCACAAAAGTTTTTTTGTATATCTTTACTGCCTCCTAGTGGTTGGAAAGAGCAAGTGTACATTTAGGATTGGAAAAAAGCAACTACTGTAATCCTAACAGTTGATCTTCTGAATCACCCTTCTTCAAGGAAGCATAAGACGCATCCATAATTGTGTGGTCTCCAAATATATCTGGATTGCCACAACAGTTGAGTTTAGTATGCCATCATTCAGTGTTTTCTAGCCTTCGCAACTTGAAGACATGTGAATTTCAACTCCCAGAATCCTCCAGCTGGCTGGGGAATTGTGGGAGTTGAAGTCCACACATTTTCAAGTTGTCAAGGTTGGAAAACGTTAACCAAAAGTGAACAGCATCCACAGCTTCATTGCCCACAATAGTGTGAATGTCACAGGGGGTTGATCCTATGCTAAACTAGCCTAGGATGTCCAGGTAGTCCTTGACTTATAACCACAATCGAGGCCAAAATTTCTGTTGCTGAGACATTTGTTAAGTGAGGTTTGGCCCATTTTACAACCTTTCTTGCCACAGTTGTTAAGTGAATCACTGCAGTTGTTAAGTTAGTAACACGGTTGTTAAATGAATCTGTCTTCCTCCATTGGTTTTGCTTGTCAGGAGGTTGCAAAAAGGTGATCACATGACCCTGAGACCTTGCAACCATGAGACTGTTGCCAAGTGTCTAAATTCTTGATCACATGACCTTGGGATGCTGCAACAGTAGTAAATGTGGGGGGAAAAAGCTCATGTCACTTTTTGCAGCGCCAATGTTACTTCAAATGGTCTCTAAATAAATTGTTGCAACTTGAGTTAACTACCTGCAGTTAATAGGCCGTGTTTTATAGCATGCCGCTAACTGTATTATCCAATCCAGGCCAAATGCGATTATTCAGCAGATTTGTAGTTCAACCATTTATTTATTTAATTTTTAAGAATCCTGCATACTGTAAACTGCACGAATCAAAAAGAGGGCTGCGAAAATATTTACAGACCCCTCGCATCCTGGACATAAAACTGTTTCAACTCCTATGCTCAAAATGACGCTATAGAGCACTGCACACCAGAACAATTAGACACAAGAACAGTTTTTCCCCGAATGCCATCACTCTGCTAAACAAATAATTCCCTCAACACTGTCAAACTATAAATCTGCATTACTATTAATCTTCTCATCGTTCCCATCACCCATCTCCTCCCACTTATGACTGTATGACTGTAACTTTGTTGCTTGTATCCTTTCGATTTATATTTATATTGTTTCCTGATTGCTTATTTGTACCCTGTGACTATCATTAAGCGTTGTACCTTATGATTCTTGATGAACGTATCTTTTCTTTTATGTACACTGAGATCATATGCACCAAAACAAATTCCTTGTGTGTCCAATCACACAAGGCCAATATTCTATTCTATTCTATTCTATTCTATTCTATTCTATTCTATTCTATTCTATTCTATTCTATTCTATTCTATTCATCCAGTGGAATACTAGACATCTCAGCGCAACCTGTGTTTTGATGGTGCAACTGAAAGAAACTTAGCCCCCCCCACCCTCCTTTTCCTCCTTAAAAAAAGCCCACCTTTTGCAATTCGTTTGAAGGGGCCCAGTGTTTGGAGAGAGGAAGGACAATGGATTGCGCCAAACACAACCTAACCACAATAAACAGAACGTCCTTCCTCGCTCAGACCGGGAAATCAGCCCGAGTGGAAGACCAACCATCCGCAGGGGGGGGAAAAAAACCCCAGATTGAGCTACGCAAAAGGACCACAACCGCAGCCACTCTTGATGTTGTACGTGCTGGAACTCACAAGAGCTTCGCATCACTACCGGAAGTTCGAGTTGTGAGTCACCTTCCTTCCCCCCCCCCTTCATATCTCCGGGAAAGCAGATCCATTGTGCGCTCCAGTACGCTTTATCTCGGGGGGGGGGTCTCCAACCTTGGCAACTTTAAGACTTGTGGACTTCAACTCCCAGAGTTCCTCAGCCAGCTTGCTGGCTGAGGAACTCTGGGAGTTGAAGTCCACAAGTCTTAAAGTTGCCAAGGTTGGAGACCCCTGCTTGCAACGAGCTGTTTCTGCGCGGGGAGAGCCTCCATCCTCTGCGCCCCCCCCTCACTTCTGAAGTGCAATTAAGGCTGCGGGGTCTTTGCTCTCTCTCTCTCTCCCCACCTGCCCGCTTGCCTTTTTTTTTTGTTGCACGCTTACCGCAAAGGCACAGCAGGGTTGCCTTGTGTCCTGGGCGGCTGCTGGAGCGTAGCGCACCGGCGAACCTCCCCCGGCCATGGAGAAGGACGGGAGCAGCTGGGCCTCCGTTTTTAAATCCACCCAGGGTGGGGGGAGGGAAAAGCTCTCCCGACCAGCCGGACGGAGAACAGCCCCGTAGCCCCCAGCCGGGACCAATGATCATCAGCGGTTGAAGCCAGAGGCCCCGGCCAAGCCGAGCGAAGCCAGGCAGAACGAGCGCCCTCTCTCGTGGGTTCCGCGGGAGGGGAGGATTTAAAGGCAAAGCCCGTCCTCGCCCTCTAAACGGAGAGTCGTCTGATTGAATTTCTTCCTGGACGGATCTGTTTGGTGTTCGGATGGGAGACCACGAGGAAGACCGGGGTGGGTGGGTGGGTGTGGAAGCATCTTTCAAGAGACATTAAGGGCAACCCCCCCTTTTTTTTTTTAAATCTCTTGCCAAGGCAATAAAGGATGTGCTTGAGAAGTGACAGCTGAGTTCGATTTGCTGGCTTTGCCTTTTTCGGTGTAGTTACAACAACCACCACACTTCCTGCAAGTAAATTAATCAACTGAGGCACTGAGGAGAGGTAGGTGTCACTTCCAGGATATGATAAACAGGAAAAAAAAGACGCAGTGAAACAGTGTGTCTCCATGTGCTTACTTCCCTTTTCCAGAAGAGAGCCACTAGTCCAGTGATGGCTAACCTTTTTGCCGTCGCGTGCCAAAAGCGGGGGTCGCGGGGGGGTCGCGTGTGCGTGTGCCCACATCCATAATTCAATGGGCCCCACCCTCCCACACATGTGCACGTGACCCCCCCCCCCATATTTCTCCCTGCTTTTGGCACGCGATGGCCCAGTGGGCCTAGTAGGTCCGTTTTTTTCCCCTCCCCAGGCTCCAGAAGCTTTCTAGGAGCAAAAACAGCCTTCCTCATCCTCCCAGAGGCCAGAAACAGCCAGTTTCCCGACTTCCGGTGGGACTGGAAGGCCTGAAAATCAATTGGCTGGTGCGCGCATGCGCGCTGGAGCTGAGCTAGGGCAACACTTGCGTGCCCACCAAAATGGCTCCGCGTGCCACCTGTGCCATAGGTTCGCCATCACGGCACTAGTCTATAAATATACAGAGCATGCTTAGTTAACAGAATAACAAGTTGCAGGTCTTCTAGTCCAACGCCCTGCTCAAACAGGAAAGCCTCCACTATTCCATACAAATGGTTGCCCTATCTCTTCTTTAAAATCTCCAGTGATGGGAGCACCCACAAATTCTAAAGGCAAGCTGTTCCATTGGTTAATAGTTCTTAGTACCAGGAACTTTTTTCCTTAAGTTTTAGGTTGGTTCTGTCCTTGATTAGTTTCCACCCATTGCTTCTTGTCCTGCCTTCATGTGCTTTGGAGAATAGGTTGACGTGGTCGGTCTTGTGGCAGCCCCTCGAATATTGAAATGTCACTCCTAGCCCTTCTTTTCACTAGACTTAGAACTTCTTGGGAGGGAGGGTGTTTATTCCCCCCCCCAAAAAAGCTCAGCAGAGTTCCTGAAGAATGCAGTTCATTCCCTCCTAGTTAATAGCTCCATTTCTGGGTTAACTATTAGCTGTTGCAGATGTTGAATTTTGCAAGCTGCTGCAAATGTATCACTTTTTGTTCTCTCTTGGGCATGTCATGCAGGAGAATTCATTGGAGAAAGCAATTATGTTTGGAAGAGTTAGTGGTAAAAGGAAACCAGGCTGTCAAAGAACACGATGGCTGGACACCATCAAAACTAACATCAGCCAGAGCACAGAGAAATTCAAAGAAACCATGCAAGATTGGAAAATGTGGCCCATAGAATAAGCAAAGTATCTTTTTTCATGTAGTACAGGAGTGACTTTGGAAGCAGTTGCAATTGAAAGAGAAAGTAAGAACTATAGGTAGTCCTCGATTTACAACCATTTGTTTATTGACCAGTGTTACAGTGGCATGCAACTACGGTAGTCCTCACACTTAAGACTGTTGCAGTATCCCCACAATCACATGATCAAAATTTGGGCTTTTTGCAATCGGCATGTATTTACAGGACTTGCAGCATTCTGACGAAGTAATTGGGGGATTCATTTAAGGACTGCATGATTAACTTAACTGCAATGATTTGCTTAACTAGAGCAAAATAGGTCATAAAATGGGGCACAGCTTTTTTACTGTCTTGCTTAGCAACAGAAATTCTCCCAATTGTGGTCATACATTGAAGATTATCTGTAAGCAGTTTTGTGGCACCAAATATTTGCATAAAAGATAGTCTCCTCGGAGCTCAAATTTCATGGATTCATGCGTGTAGTTTTCTAGGCAAGAACATATAAGTGATTTGCTACTTGCTCCTCCCAGGAAGCTGTTTTGACTTTCACCCTACAACAGCCCTGTGATTTCTTAACAAGTGTTACACTTAAGTAATCCAGTCGTGCTTGATTTCTGAGCCCAGACAAGCCAACCAGATGCTGCATACGTAGCCTTTAATTTGAGCTGCTGTAATAAGACAATATTGAACAAGCTGGAACAACTGTCAACAACTGCATTAGAAGGGCAAGAATAATCATATTCTACGGGATGATCATGTCCATTTTCTTGATACTTTGATAAAGCTATCAGATACTATATTATATTTCTTCCCTCTTCCCCTTGTTTAAGATATTGAAATATGAAGAAAAAAGCAAATATTGAAATAAAGTTTTAAAAATCAACAAGGACTGCTTCATTTGCATTATTAAAAAGCTACAGTAAAAAGGATAAATTACTTTTTAGTGATAAATCCTCCCCTCCATTTCTGTATCTCCAACCACTAGCCACAGTTTAGCTGTTCAAACTTCACACCAAACATTAGTAAGTGTTGGTTTCTATTTGAATCCTAAAAAAAAAATAGTGCAAATATCTATATCTGCCTTGCTGTGTGGTAGATAGTATGTAAGTGAACTTGATTATCCTTCTGTTCAAGTCTCCATTAGTTTTTGCTAATGAGCAAAAGTTTCCTGTTCTTGGTCCAAAAGGTCTCACTAACGTGTTCCTAGCCAGATTCACACAGCCCTTCTCCCATGTATTGAAAGAACGTGTTATGAAAGCCTCACAGCAGAAATATTTGTATAACATCATTCGTATGTTTGGCCATGATGAGAGAGGCTGGTGCTTATATTCATGCATAACTGCAAACAACTAAAGATTCTATTGTTAATCTTCTATTCTGTGTGTTCCTCACTTCTACATAATAGATTTGGTGGGTGTTCTGTTTAAAAGCAATGAGTTAAGAAAAGCATAAAACCCACAAATAGATTTAGCATTTTATACTTCCTTCTTTCATCTATCTGTAGCCATGCCTAAAGCTGTTGTTTTAAGGAAGACTGTGAATTTAAAGCCTTGATGAGCAAAGTGAAGTTAGTAAATATAGTTCTCAGAAAGAGTTCTCCTGCACTGAACTGAGGGATCTTTTTTGATTCTTGATGGACCTTACCAATGCAAAATATTTTCTCCACACACCCTCTGCCCAGAGAATTAATCATGCAATCCTCAGTTATGCTTGATTGCTGACTCAAGATTTCTTAATACTCCTCATCATCAGTTTTGTATTCATTTTCATCATGACGCACACACCACATCAAGTTACTGACATTTCACTGACCTGAAAAATGATTTTTTCTTCCTTGGAGAAAAACACTAGAAACATTCATATCTAACTAGATGCTCATGCCTAAAAATAATACAGTATATATTCTGTATTTTTTATGGAATAAAAAATATACTAATTACTCCATAATACCGGTAATATGTTTGTTTCTAAGTAGGGCATGACACGGGTGAATTGTGCCAAGGATCTCTTTCCTCCTATATTCTGGTCACAAGAAAATGAAGGCTGGAGCAAATGGCTCAAACTGAAGTTAGAAATTGTTAAGAATCAGTGAACTGGGGCTCTAAGAAAGCAATAAAAAAAGAGTTACCTTTGGCCTTGTGGAAAAGGACAACAGAGGAAAAGAATATGGTCACCAAATACAGATGCCCACCTCAGTTAAATCTGTATAATATTTTACTGAAACAGAATTGTTTTTGGATATGCTTACACTGACTTAAGAACACAATCTAGTCTTCTTTTTATCTATCAACGTAACCCTTGCTGTAAGAAGGATGTTAGAAATGCAGTTCTTTGAGATGTGCAGCATTGGAACAAGGTGTCTAAGGGCCTCTATCTGTGCCAGTTTTGTCATACTTGTACTGAAAAGCTGTGTGCTTATTTGGAAGACAAAGCCCTGAGTTTAGCAGAAGTGGTTCTAGGTATGCAAGAGTAAGAGATAGCTATGACTCCCCTTGATAGGATTATGTTCAAGATAGGAGTCACTTACAAGTAAATGACAAGGAATCACTTACAAGAGACAACTACAAGAAGTTAGAGCTACAAGACTGAAAACCTTGATGGGAAGACTGAAGGGCAGTCTGAATTAATTGTATCTGGAGTAGGAAACTACATCCTGGCCACTGCTCCTCATGGCACTATGATATTCAAGAGAAAGCAAAGCTGTTTTGGATAAGAGATAGTGAAGCATGATTCTTGTTGCACAGTTGCAATCCAGCAGATACATTTTTCTGATGGGTAAGAATTTTGCAAGGAAACATTTGTAAAAGGCTAAAAAGCCTAATGATCATCCTAACTTTAAAGTAAAAAAAAGAAAAAATGAGGATTTTATAGTCTGGTCTTAAGCATAGTTATTTGAAAGTGAATCACACTGAATCAAGGACACTTTCTACTCCTGAGCACAGAAAATTGTGCTGATATAGTGCAGGTCTTTACCTGTTTATGATGATTTTCTCAGCTGAAAACAAGTATAGGTACGAACATATTATGAAAGTTAAAAATGGGGAATGAAAGGAACCTTTATTAAACATTAAGAAGCCAACAGGAATATGAAGCTAAATTCCTACAGTTGACCACAATATGTTGAAGATGAATACAGATAAATTAATTCTAGGGAGGGATGTTAATGACAAAGATAAGATTGCGAAGGATAGGGGGTGGTGTAAAAGGGTGGTAAAGTATTATATAATGTGATATCAATTTGGATTTTATCTTGGAGAAGCCATGGGGGGAGGGGAGGGGGGAGGGGGGGTGGGGGGGGGGAAGGGGGGGGGGAATCTGTATTTGAAAAACTTTTTCAATAAAAAAAAAATTGCGAAGGATCATGCCTTTAGTACAACATTGAAAAATAATAAGAGAACGTATATAACTTTCAATGTATAGGTATGGGGATGATTCTTCAGAGTGCAGTATCATGAACTGCATGAATCAATCAGTACTAAACCAAGTGGGGATTGATGGTGCCTTGAGACAATGCATTAGCAAGCAGAAACTTGGGATAGGTGAGGCACATGCATGATTGACGAGAAAAAAAATATGTTTGGCAAGTTTGACCAAAGTAGGAAGCAGTAGATAACTGAAATATAAATATTGCGAAAATATCTTTACAAGACCTACACAGTATGAGCAATTTTTAAAGATAGTTCAAATGGTGAGCATTTGTGGAGTCACAAACAGCGAATAAGACTTAGAGCAGTGGTTCTCAACCTGTGGGTCGGGACCCCTTTGGGGGTCGAACGACCCTTTCACAGGGGTCGCCTAAGACCATCCAAAAACACATATTTTCAATGGTTTTAGGAATAATTTTATGGTTGGGGGTCACCACAACATGAGGAACTGTATTAAAGGGTCGCGGCATTAGGAAGGTTGAGACCCACTGACTTAGAGGCAACTACCTATAATTGAATTCATAGGTAAGCTTCATAATCGGTAAAAAATTTCCTATATATGATTAGGTGCATTTAGTTTTTCCTTTTCTGGCATTTGTTTTGGTCACTAGCAAGTTCTTAACAATAATTTTGCCATAGACTGATTAATACAAGGAAATAAAGAACTGGTTCATGTTTTGAATCAGAATGTTGCAACCAAGGAAGACATAAATAACAGACACAAATAACAATTCTAGATTTTACAGAATACCACAATTGTCCCAATTTAACATAATGTAAAAATTCGTAAGTTTTAGCTTATATGAACTATTGTTTAAATATAGAATCTGGGCCTCCAACATCAACTGCTTTCCTGTCTTTTGCTCTGTCTTACCTAATGAAAAGTATGGCATTAGCTATAGATTGATTTCAGGTCTAACAGCCTAAATGAATATTGTATGCTAAATGGTAGATAGGCACAGTGGCAGATAGGCCAATTGATTATGCAGTAATGACAGGTCATATGCATTGATTTGAGTGTTCATTTTATTATTTTCCATACAAGCATATGTATATATGAAATTTACATGTGATATATTTTACAACAAAATGGTGCCCATTTGCAAATACTGTGTAAGTCTGAAAACTAAACCTCTCTAAACTTTTGCATACTATTTCAAGATCTTTAAGGTGGAATAGATATTGCTCCAGTACGGAAAATCTATTTTATTATGGCTGGTTCAATGATTATACTACTTGAAAATAATTTGCATCAAAGTCAGCACATAATACCTTGTTCGTACAAAAGTTCACAAAGAAACAGCTTTGTTCTGTTCCTCCTTGTCCTGGCAAGAGACAAGGAAGAACAGTTGGATTGCAACTTTATCTTATCTACAATTATTCCACAATGTCCCATATTCTGTGCTCGCGCTGCCTTATCTATTAAAAATTGCTCTGGGTGAATCTCAAGAGCAAGTTGGAGATTCCAATATTACAGGGTAGTCCTCAACTCACAACAGTTCGTTTAGTGACCATTTGGCACTGAAAAAAAATGATTTATGACCATTTTTCACACTTATGACCATTGCAGCATCCCTGTAGTCCTTGTGATTTACATTCGTAACTCGCATTTACGACGGTTGCAGTGTTCTGGAGTCATGGGATCCCCCTTTTGCGACCTTCCGACAAGCAGTCAAGAGGAAACTAGACTCACTTAACAACGGTTTTTCTAATTTTTAAGAACTGCAGTGATTCACTTAACAAATGCGACCAGAAAAGTCGTAAAATGGGGGGGGGGGAAATCACTTCACTAGTTTCTCACTTAGCAACATAAATTGGGGGCTCAAAATTGTGGTCGTTGAGTACTACCTGTATTATTCCCAATTATTTTAAGGCTGAAAAAATTTTGGGGGGGGAGAAACACCTCAAGGGGGTTTATCCAAGAGGCCCCTTTCTGGTTTACAAGCAATCCCTGCTAGATCCCCCCCCCCAATTCGGGCGTAACGCCACCACCAGCCCGGACGGAGCCGAACAAGGCCTCTGGGGCTAAATGCTTGCTTATTCAGACCCGAAGACGTTCCGCTTTTGGCCCAGCAGAGAAGCGGCCACGTGCCCCGTCTGCGGGCGGGCAGGCAAGCGGGTGGGTGTCTCCGCCGCGTCCCCGCCTCCTGGCTCGGCCTTGCCCGCCTTCCTCCGCCTTCCGAGCCCCCTCGTTTCCTGCTGCTGGCGGAGGCCGAGGGAGAAGGTGGCGGTGGAGGCGGTGAGGGAAAGAAAAGTGCCCCGGAGCCGGAGAAGCGGTCGCCTGCCTCCACCCACCCCAGGCTCGTCCCCGAAGGAAGCCGCCGCCGCCACCCCTTCTTCTTCCTTGCGCCCCGCTGCCTCCCCGCTCTCCGGGCCCCCATTTTTTTTTCTCCCTCTCCGCCTCCCCACCTACCTACCCACCCAAGTTTCCCCTCCGCAGGACTTCCCTGCCTCCCACCCAGGACAATAAAGAGCGGGAGATGTCCTCCTCCGGTGGCCACCAGCAAAGCCAGAGCCGCGCCATCCCCACCAGGACGGTGCCCATCAGCGACTCCTCGCAGCTACCTCATGACTATTGCACCACGCCCGGGGGGACCCTCTTCTCCACCACGCCCGGAGGTAAGGCAGCCAAGGAAAAGGCGAGGCGACTCAGGGCCTCGCGCGCGCCTCATGAGGTGAAAATAGAGAGAGAGACCCGCGCTCGAGCAGGCCCACCGGAGCTGGGGGGGGGGGAAGGGGGCGTGCGCCCGGCCTGGCTTTTGAAGCGCTTCGTCTCCAGGCGCCTTAAAAAGGGGAGTGTGTGGAACCCCTGAGAGGCCTTGGCGGTGGAAAAGGGAACCCCCTGTCAGAAGCCTCCTTGGGCGGAGGGGGGGAAGAAAATAAAATGAGTCCGAGGTTGCCCTCTGGAAACATGACGCGCCCTCCAGAGCGCATTGCCTTCCGAGCCGGGAGAGGGAAAGAGACGCCTCTCCTTGCGGCGTTGGGAATGGGGACCCGCTTGTTCTGCAGGCGGGGCTGAGGCAAAGCTTCCCCGGGTCTTTGCACAGGGAGAGAAAGCGGGCTGGAATACGCTTTCTCGCCGCCTAGGCCTCGCCTCGCCTCTGGTGTTGGGGCTGGCGGCGAGGTATTTGTAAACAAGGCCCCGGAGAGCCTCAAGACGCCGCGCGGCTCTTGCACAATAGGGAAGGGAGGAGCGGGGAGGAGGGAGGGACCGTGGCCGCGGGCGAGGGAAGGCGACGGGCGGCGGGCTGCCTCGTGTATAGAAGAAGGCCGCTTTCCCTTCGGGGAAGGGAGGGGAAGAGACCGCACCCCCCCCCCTCCAAAGCACCCGCGTGGAAATATGGCTGGCGTGCCTGTGTTGTTTACCAGCCGCCCTTGAGGGACGTCAGTCGGCTGTCTAGGTTTATATTAATATAAAACGAAATAACGAAATGAACAAGCTAGGCCGAGAGAGTCACCACGTGCTGCTTCTGCTTCCCCCCTCACACACACACACACCCTTTGCGGAAACGCTTTTTGGGCTTTTCTCCAAATAGTAGAGTTGGAAGGGACCTTGGAGGTCATCCAGTCCAGCCCCCTGCTCACGCAGAGAGACCTGTGCTAGGGAATTCGGAACCGCCGACCTTTCTTGGTCGCTCAGTATCTTAGCCACTGAGCCACCTTAGTCAGGCAAAAATCGCTTTTTCTGTGTAATATAATAAGCCTTTCGCGGTTCGGTGGCTTCCCAAAAAAGCGGGGCCCCGGTTGCGTTATTTGGGGATGCTTGATGCGGGGGTGGTAAACACACCTCGCGGGGAGGCTCGAACTTGGGTGGAATCGCCCAAATTGGATGAATTCAGTTATTTGTGGTCTTATTTTTTTTTTTAAATGTCTTGGACGTGCATTGAACCGAAGCAGGAAATAAAGAGAGCAAGCAGGATCCCTCAGCTAATGATTAGCCTCTGTTCCCTAGACGTGGAGCGAGCTGGTTTGGAGATGGTAAAGGTTGAAGGGAGGTGATGCGTGCAGGTGTGCAGCTAAATAGTAAATTTTTCTTTCAAAACGGTAATGCTGTAGGCTCCCTGTTTTCAGCTGTTTATTGCTGTTACATAAGGCCACCCTGGCTTTGAGACTTTGCTGCTTTATGTCTGACGATTTTTTTCCTTAGCTCTACACACATTAACTTGCTCAGAAGCTTTAACAGCTTTGTCCAACTTTGCCCCCCACCCCACTACTGAAAATGCTGGATTAACTAATAGAGATTAATTCCAGAGGAAAATATATGACAGTAATATGTTGTAAGAAACATTCTTATGACACTTGAAAAGCTAAAATTATTGTGACATCCAGCTTTCATTGTCTAGACCACTTAAGGGTTGTGTTGTGATTAGATTTGTCCTCATATTTGGTTCTCAAGATGTCACAAGTCTCTTTTTCCCCGCTCTGTGCTACTTGTTTGCATGTTGCCTTGATATTCATATGTGCAACACTGTATTCTTTTTAGCCTAATGAGTTCTAGTAAACTTCAAAGTTAACAGCTTTATTTTTGTGGCCAAGATTTAGATTTTAGATAGCAACAAACTGATTTGGTCTTTGCAAAGTTTTTTTAAAGTTGAGCACCAAGTTCCTTCTTGGGCCTTTTGTTTACAGCTTTGAATTATACTTTCGTATTTCACATTATTCAAAATTACTGGTAATGGGGGGAGAAAGTAAGATATGCTGCCTTGCTGATTTGTCATTGACACGCTTTCTTCTGCATGCCCAAAACTATTAAGGTTACATTTCAAGTTAACAGCTGTCATGCCAGATAGCAGTATAAATTTGGAAGTTTATGTAATTTCTAGAATGTCATTTCTTTGCCCAGAACTTGCTTCATATGGGAAAGGGCACAGCACTGTGAATTGTGATGATATGATAACAAAGTGCTTTTTATTAAAAGGTACAAAGTTAGTCAAGATTTGGTACAAAATAGCTCTCCAGATATGTGAATTAAAGTTAGATTTCTGCTTGAAGAATTCAGGGCTGAAATCCACACACGTAGAAGGAACTCAGGTTGGGAAAATTAGACATAGCAGACTTGTTTAAAATAACTGGCTAACATAGATATTAACAATTGGTAAGGAGTAGCTGTGAAACTTGACAGTTCCTGCCAGAATATTATATTTTAACTATTATGTTTGTATTTATTCATTAACTGTGGTTTATTAAATACATTATGAGATTCACATTAGGTGGTAAACATACCACGATATAGAAAAAACAATCTTTAAATTCCTGTAACTTGGTAACCCAAAAACAAGCAAATTACATCATGGTTTAACATCCAGAAGGCATTTTGAAATTGATGTATTGGTATTTAAATTCTCTCTTCTCTGTTTTCCCTGTTGTGGAATCATTGCCACATGATACAACAAAGTTCCCCCCCCCCCTCATTATATGTTTTTTGTTGTGAACAGCTGAGAATCTGGGAACATATGGTGGCATCCAAGTCAAATATAAATGTTCTGCAAACCCAGTCAACACTGTTGCATTCTATGTTACACATATAGTCCTCGACTTACAACTGGTCAATTAATAAAGTTTGAAGTTACAATTGACACACACCCCCAAACATATTTATGACACAGTTCTGAAGTTCCAATAGCCACCTCTCTCATATTTGGGTGGTTGGCAACCAGGCTGAATTTATAGCCATTTGCACCTTCCAGCAATCTCATGTGAGACTGCAATTTACAATGCTTTTGCTGAAAACCAGTATTTATTTTCCATAACAAACAATGGATTCACTTAATGGCCACTACCAGAAGGTCATAAAATTGGGTTGATCATACAATGACCTTCTTTATGATTGTCATGACTTAAAACTACTTGCAAGGCTCAATTACAGTTTTAAATTGAGGGCTACTTGTAGAGTGCAATATAGAAAGTTGAAAAACATTAGCTCCCCCCTCCCCATGCTTCTGCTGCTCCTGGGGTGCAGAACAGTGGAAGCATGTCCATAATTTAAAAATTCAGATTCCCATTGATTACAGTGAAAGAGCTCACCAAGTATGCTCTGCTGGAATCTGCAAGGCTTAAAGAATCCTAATGCTTGAATTAGATTAGTTTTACTATATCCCATTATGCAGTTCAGGTATAATTTGAATGCAGGACCGATACAGTCAAATTGATATTATCTTCATGATCTTGACATTAATCCCATTTTCTTTATGAAGCAACTGACAGGCATTATACTAATTTCAAACTTTTGCTTAGAGTGGGAGCAGGATGTCCTTGTTCTTAAGTGAAAGGTTGTTAAAGGTCATTAGAAATTGCATAGCTGAAATTCCATTACTTTAGTTTTAGTTATTGCATTTTTTTCCAGGCATCTGAATCTGATATTTCGCTATATAAATAAATACAGTGATTCAGTGTAAGCTTGAATGCATTGAAAACTTTTGGTTATCCAAAGGTGTGAAAACTGCCTTGTTTAGCTAAATTAGGATATATTTTGTGGGGACAACACCCTAACATTGCAACATTAAACATAAATATGGCAAAAGAAGAAATGCAGATATTTAAAGAAGTAATTGCAAAGAAAATAATCAAGCTGTACTTTATAAATATACATTTCCTTATTTTATGATTCTGTGCATTTAATGATTCTAAATTTCCAAAAATTTATAATTTTTAAAGCTACCAGTGTAAAAGGTTGGTTGGTTGGTTGGTTTTTCAAGGCAAAGTATCTAATTCTGGATTACCCCACCTTTACAGAATCTTAAGTATTTCCTGTAATGAAAAAGCATCAAATTCTAGTCCACCTTTGCCTCAGGAAGCTCCCTGCATGATTCTGGACCACTCATTAGTTCTCAGTCCAACCTATGTCATAGATTTGTAGGGAAAGTATGAGGAAATACTATGATTGCCACTATAAGCTCCTCTATGAAAGATGGGGTATAAGTTAAATAAGAAAAAAAATAATTTTGAAAACATGGAAGGGTACATGTGCAACAGAGAAGAACTGTGTTGTAACCAAAGAAACATTTAACAGCCTGTTTCAGATTCTAGATCAAAATAGTAAGGAAGAGTACTGAAGGTGGCTATATCTGTGTAAAGAAGGATTTTGGAAGAACACCAACTTGTTGGTTGAGGAGAACTAACAGCCAGAAGAAACTTCAGAAGGCAAAATACAGATGTTTGGCAATGTTTGGATTTCTTCCTCACTTTTACAAAAGTGCTTTTGTTAGACACATTCCTTTCTCGCTCTAATTTTGTGATGTTTCGTTTGAAAGCACTGAGTGTGCCTTGCTACTTGCCATGGATGCTGGAACCCAGCCCAGGTCAGCAAAACAAAAATTACACCAGTGGCTGGAGAAAAAGTAATGAACATCTGAGCACCATCACTTTTGCTCTGCAAAGCAATATTTCAACAGGCTTTGTTGAGCTCCATTGGCTGAATATGTTTTAATGGCCAAAAGTTAAAACTTTCTCCTTGAGAGATATCCCTGCTGACTTAAGATATGTAAAAAAAACAAAAAACCCAATGACATAAATAATTTTTCCATGGACTTTTTGGATTCTGCATTAAGGCAACTGTGTGAATTAATGGATTGTTTTAAATAAATGCAGACACTGCTGACTCTTGGTCTTCAATTCATGCG